AATTGTATCTTATATAAAACTTAATGCTGACATTTGGATTATTACATACCATATTCTATTATAGGTTTAAATTTAACATAATTAATGTTTAAATAAATCTGACTATAAATTTGCTACCCTTAATAATCTGATAGGAAATTTATTATTAATTTCGGAATAGAGGCGAGTCGAACACCCAAGGGTTTCCCCGAACAATTAGCAATCGTTTTAACTTACCAATGTAGACTATTCCTTAATAAAAGATATTAATATAAAAAAATAAATAAACAAAATAAATAAAAATAAATCGTTTTTTTAATAAATCATAAAAATAAAGTGTTTTTAATAGATTAAATTTCTTAATTAATATATTGGGCGCGGGGTTAAATAAAAATTTAAAAAATCAGCCATAACAAAAATTGCTATCTGCTATAAATCAAACGAAAAAAAAATCTGGGTTATGCTTAGAAATCCATACTTTAAAAAAGTATAAAAATTTAAGCTAATAATTGATAGTCCTTACCAGATTCGAACTGGCACTAATTACGTGAAGGGTAGTCGTACAGCCTGCTTATACTAAAGGACCTTACCCTTTTTTAATTTCCGCCTTTAACTATGGTAATTTGTTTCGGTACATAGAAAAAAAAAATAATATTATATCGAAGCTTTTTTGTTTTAGCGAAAGTAGGAATTGAACATACTCTAACAACTCATGAGGCTGTTGTGCTACCATTACACCATCTCGCTTTCGATGGTTAATTACTGAAATATTTATAACTTTTTTTTCCATCATTTTAACTTACTCACTTTCATTTATCTTCTTTTAGCTTAGAAAAATAAAAAAACTTATTTTATAAGTCACAGTTACAAATATAATATAATATAATATAATATATAAATAATATAATATATCTAATATTATATCTGCTCACAGATAATGAGTAAAACAAAATTTACCTACCTATAAACTAAGTAATTCTAAAAATATCAAATTATAAACTCACTTTTGAAGAGTGGCGTTAATGGTCCTAGGACCTTGGGGATAAAAATTAAAATTACGAACAAAGAGACTCGAACTCTTAAGGAACTTCTTCCACTCCAACTTAAGAGGAGATTGTTTACCAAATTTCAACATGTTCGCTTTTATAACAAAAAATATGAGTTTATATATTTTGCTAAAAATCTCCGCCCTCGGAGAAAAAAAAAGTTAAAACAGTGTACCTAAAAAAAGTTAAGTAAAAGATATTGTTAATTTTTTAAATAAAGGTTAACTACTTATAAGTTTTATTTATTATTTTTATCATTTCCGAATTAAAAATATTTCCTTAACAAAATTAAAAAAATATTAAAAAAAAATTCTACTTTTATACACATTTATTTTTTTTATTTTTCTTATGTTAGAAAGCATAAAGGTTCTCTCACTTATTTTAAGTCGTAGCAAAAATATATTAATATATTATTATAATATAAAAAATGAAATAAAATACCTTTATTTTTAATTTTTTCATTCTTTTTTATTTTTACTGCCCTCTCTCCAAAAACGATAATTATTTATTAAAATAAAGTTTTTTTTTTAATCAGTGGTAAGTATAGAAACAATCAAAACACAAGATGATATTTTATTACAATTGTATAGGTATCCAAAAAAAAAGAAATTATAGGTATCAAGAGGAATTGAACCTCTGAAAAAAGTATTAACAGTACCCCGCATTAACCATTCTGCCATGACACCTTATTTTATAGGAGGTTATTTTTTTTTCTTTATTTGGTATATTAAATTAAATTTAATTACACTATGTACTCACTGCACAATATAAGCAGTTCAACAACCTAATTTTTTTTTA